TCGTCGGCATACAATAAGTTTTCTCGAGAGCGCAACCAAATCCGAAGCCGATTCCCGACACCGCAATTTCGAGAAGCGATAACATTTACGCGCAATTTCAAGCTGTCTTTCTCGAGTCAGTGATGACAAACTTCGAATTAAGCGATTTGTCTTCAAGTTCACGCATAATGAACATCAGACGCCGCGTCGTGAAGGCAATAAAAGAATCTTACACGTCGAGAGAGGCAAATCTTTTTCTTTCCGACAGTAATATCAATTTCCCTCCCCCGCGTCTCTGACGCGACCGCGACAGCGCGACCTGAAGTGAAAGAATTCTGACACGGAAGAAAATTGGTAGAAGGAACGAACCAAGGGCAACCAGGGAAGGAAGGAGATAGGAGTAAAGGGAAAAGAACCCAGGGAAGCGATATGAAATGGAATGAAAATTGTTAGGAGACGCGGAATGTGCTTCGAGAACTACGAAGCAGAGTGGTAATATCGCCGCTAGAAGTGCGAGGTTGGAATAGATGAAAAGACAGAGAGGTGAACGGTCCAGGAAGAGAGGAAGGACCTCGACTTCCGGATCTTTCCTCAGACGGTGAGAACTCTTTCTCTTCTGCGTTTCTTTTTCGTTTATCCCATCGCTAAACTGTCGGCTTGAGGTTGTACGCTTGAACGTCACTCGTGAGAGAATTCCGAGATAAAAGAGAAAAGAGAATCTTTTTCTTAACACTGTTAACGCGTGGATTGCTCCCGGAGTAAAAGGGTAAAAGTATGCGACTAAAATACTTTCGCGATTATGACTTTGAAATCAGATTCGCAGAAAGTACCGAACGACGACGATTCGATGAATAGACGGAGAATAGAGCGCGTCGACGAAAATATCTCGACTTATAGCGGAAAGTTCAGCGGCGGAACATCGCAAGACGACCGAAAAGTATGCGAAATGAACGGAGCGATCGCATAATTAATAGAAAGAGAGAATTAGAGAAGAGGCAGATATAGTCATAATGACAAAATCGCGCTTGCTTTCTCCGCCATTCTTTCATTTCTTCCCTAAAACTATTTCTTAAAAATCCATTAATTTTACTAATTAATTTTATGATAATTAAATGAGATTATTTGATAATTTCAAGTTAATTACTTTTATATGAGAGCTTTATCAGCTTATATGATTTTTGATATAAAAAATTCATGTCATTTTACATAAGCTTGTAAAAGTTTTAAATGATTCTCGTATCTGCCAATTCTCCGTTTTTCTCCGATAAATGATAAATACATGCATGAGCGTGCAATCGTGAGAATCGGTTTTCGATTAACTCGTTGATGTATAGAAAGTAAAAATTCTTCTTTATTGACTGAGATGTGACAAATCGGTCCGCTTGTGTGCCGCGCAGATTTGTTTCGATGACCAGCGAAGAACAAGTACCCTTGTATCGATTAACGATTTGCTTCGTCAATGCTTGTTTTGCTCCAAGCCTCGATAATACAGTTTGTCATCTCGTGACATTAATAAATTCTATTTTACATAATTAAACTCATTTTTGCCACATGAAAGCAAAAATAATTTTCTTTTAAAAACGCAATTAATTATATAAAAGAGAAATGCGAGCACACACGTGTATATACACGTCATGTTTTATTTATATATGCCCGTGTTAGAAATTTTCAAAAATGAATATTCTTCAAATAAATTTTCAATTTTTCTACAAAAACAAACTTCCATCGAACTTTGGTGCAAAACTGAAATATTGTTAATATTCAACGAGAAATATCAATGTCTGTTCATGTATAAAATGTACAAATGCTGGTCTCGTAGAAAATAACTATTTCCTCTTTACACTTGTGTCACGTTTTTGTTTTATATGTTCTCGCTTAATTTATTCATCTATTTTCATTTCATCATTTTCCTCGTCCAACTTCTGAATTCTAATATTCTGTTATAATCTATAAATACTTTCATGCCCACTTTTCGTAGAACACTTAATCGTCCACACACAAATACTTACTTGACGATCAACTATGTAATCTAATCGCTACGCAACTAACGTCGTGTCTTAATCTATGGTATAAAAAATTGTCTGAGTAAGCGCCTACTTTCTACGTTTGTAAAATGGAATATTTATGGCACACGATTGATCAATGGATCGGTAAAGGCGGAATAAATCACGAACACGTCATTTATATACGGTTATTTTATAGCGAATTACCCCAGTTTACTCGCCTGGCGAGTAATCGATGTCACGCTCTTTGGAATGTCGGTTTAACCCTGTAATAGAGTACAGTCATGCGGTTGCGTAATACTGTTCTACGTTCTCGTGGATTCTGCAAGTGCGTTTTAACGTTAAGCTCGGCTACGAGCGATTATTCGCCAAGTGTAAAAATTACATTGTATAAAAATAGACTGCGGAACGAACGCGACTGGTGTGGGTGAGTTAGAACCACTTGCAGAACCACGTGAACTTGATGCTACATTTCGTCTAATCGACATTTAAAAACGCAGCTATATCTCTTCTGTCCTATGTAAAAATGTATATGTCATCTACTAATTAATTACACGAAATATATAAAACGATCACTTAATCACCACAATTAATACCCTGTGTTTTTTTGGCATGGTAACCTACTTACGTTCTAAAAATATACTTGTTATTTTGACAATTGACGACAAAATCATTAAATTTCGCGAAGATATATAAGCGAATTGAATATTTAAAAAATCAGAATTTTCTCTTCCAATCTCGATTAGAAATTTGTATATAAAAAAAGCTTATTTATCCTTAATAATCTACTACCCTGTACTCGTTTCGTTAAATCTAAATATATATATAAGTTAGTCTAAATCATCGCGTAATTTACCTGGCATTTGACTTTATGAAAACATTTCCACATACATTTGTACCAAAGTATGAGCAAAATATAGCAAATCAATATATTCCATTTAAAAAAAAAAAAGGCAGAAAAAGAATTTTGTGATATGTTATACTCTGCCACATTTTGACTGAAACAGTTGTATATTTAGATAATGGAACTACCATTCGGAACGGTAAATATATAATCAAAGGCAGAAATACGTTGATGTTAAATTCTGATTTGACAAAAATAATATTTTCCCTGTATAAAAATTTTTTTTCGCTTGCAAAATAGCGTAAAATAGAAATATTTTAAATAAATAAAGTCCTATCTTTTTAATTTTCATCCTTTGTAAAAGTGGCATCGAAATTTGGCGCGATGGTAAAAGCATCAGAAGTTTGCTAATTCACGACGATGTCTCGCTGCGAGAAGTTTAAAATTATGATGTCGAAACAACGCGATGCTTGCAGGTTTTCGCCCGAAAAATCGTGTCTGTCGATTCTTAAATCGACCGCCTCGCTAATCTAAAGTTCATGCTTTTCGTGACATACTACAAAAGATTGTAAATTGCAGCTCGCGCGATCGATTTCATAACGATTAATTGCTTCCGCTCTGAACTCGCCGTTTTACATAAAGGATTTACAATGCGCATTACAAAACAGTGCTGAGGAAAATGCGATTCGATAGAAATTATTAATAACACAATACTTTCCAATATCTGCGATATCACAATAAATAATCATATAAAAAGTATTACATGATGGCATTATGATTAACATTTTTTTAATCATAATTTTTCTTACGTAACGTGACATTTTACTGCAAGTTACTTTTATGTCGACTCTCTCTCTCTCTCTCGTTCTGTTTTCTTTTCTGCTTTACACAACGCATTTTCCTCCGCACGAGAGTAAAAGCTGTTATTACTTTTTGTAGCTTTCTCACCGCGAAGTAGAGACGGATGATAAGATAGGAGGACTTTGTTTCGGCTCGAGGGAGAAAAAAGAAAAATTGGTTGTGTAAGAGAAACTTAGGAATGGCTGAGCATGGTTGTATCTCTCCTGCTGGACGATAGAGAAAAGGCAAGTACAATAAACGAAAATATATATGTATATATAACAGGAGAGACAGTCTTTAATCCCGAGCTGGCTGAACGACGAGCAATTAGTTGTAGGTAAATAAATATTCTGGACCACCCACCTTGCTTCTGCTGGGATCATCGAGAACCCTATAAAGAGACGCGAAAGATCTCGTTTTCGCGCGCTCAGCGAGAATTCTGCCAAGCGCCCATTTAAGGCCAATGTTAGACCTGTGTCACACAAGATCCATCATGATCACCGGAAACGATACACACGAGAGCACCAGGCATTGTTGCGTGTCGCTCTCGTCGGGAGACGCGGCTCGAATGAACGGAGACGACGGGAAATTGAATCAGATTTTCGGGGCCCGTCATTTTTTTAGAAAAAACTATCGCCACACAAAAGCCTCTTTGCAAAATATTATTAATTATCAATAATTAATTAATACTGTTTATAATATTTATTGTTATTTATCTAAGAGGCTTAAACTAAATTCAAACTTACTGAAAGACTAATTAATGCATTGTTTAATAAAAAAAAATAAAAAAAATATATATATCTGCTACATTTAATAATCTGCAAATTAAGTTGATTTCACTTTGCACAAGGATTACAGATTCACAGATCCGATTGTTAAAAGATCGGTATTCTCACGCGAAGAATCATTCCGTCGACTCTATCCATTCGACGGCGCGTCTCTACTAAAATCGCGAGATAGGAACTGTTTCCCCCGGACGGAATGTTTCGACGTGAACGAAAAAAAAGAAAGAAAAAAACCAAAAGGACCTTTCGTCCTTTCTCTATGTGGCTATACGTGGCTATTCGTTTTTTTGGCTTGGTCGTGGTGTGTGGCGGCTGTTGGAAAGACTTTGAAATAAATACGTTATCTCGAGAATGTTTCTCTCGCGCGATACTGAAGTGATAATGATGATCCGCGCGCTCGCAACAAGACGAGGAGCGCGGAAGCCCGTCATTGTCATCATTGTCGTAGCCTGATTGGTCGTTGCCTTCAGGAGAAGCCGTGACAATTCTCACGGATCTCGAAGTAGAGATTCAGCAGTGCCGGCTCCGGCACGTCATGGAAGCACCTACCCTCGGGCCACTGTACGCACACTGCAACAGACAAAAAAAACAGACGCTTTAACATCTCATATTTCTCTCTAAATAAAAAAAAAAATAAATAAAATAAAATAAAAAATAAAAAATAAAAAAAAACGAGCAATTATGCGGAAAATTTTATCTCGCGGTTAAAACAGTTTGAAATTCATCTACACGAGAACTTTTATTAATAAAACCGCCGCATTTGTCGCACGACTGGCGAAGATAATTAATAGAGTATTTAGCGGTGTTCGCAATTACCTGACGTAACACGGTATCGGAACCTATATAGGACAGATGGTTATTTGAATTAAGCCGAAAATACCCTGTCATCGTTAATAGTTTGCTATGTTAGAACCGTAGTTATATACCGATGCGCAATTTCACCGTGAAGAAAAATAATGCGATCGATATGTAATGTGATTTCTTTTTTGGTTGCGCGCAATATTGTCGAATTCTAAATTATTATGTCACGCTAATTTATTTCGAAAAAAGTGTTACGCCCCAAATTATTTGACTATCTCAAGCACTATCGAAAACAGTTTACACGAATTGTGTAAACTTAAATGATACAGCGTGCAGAGTTTGTAAAAGGAATTTATTCGATCAATATCAATTAGAATTAACATCAAATTACACAAGGTAATTTGGTATACAGCTATCCTGCAGCTGTGATTAAAACGCTTCTTATTCCCCACGAAGTTGCACTAATAATCGCTGGGCGTGGTTGATTGATCGCCACTAAGTTTTTAGGGTTCGAAGGCTTTGCGCCACAAGCTTATTCTTCCCACAAGCGTAAATTCCTCGTGAAATTTCTTTTCTGGAGAGAAGATTTCTCCGTAGTAAATTACCCGTACGTTAAAATGAGAAAAAAAGCGATACTTACGTTAATGTTCATTGCAAAAAAAAAAAAGGAGATGGAAAGAATTTACAATTCTGAGACAGCAAAATTGATCTTAAAGATCTGCTGTTTAATAATGTTAATAATAAATTAATAAATATTTCATTACGTGAATAATTGCATTAAACACCTATTCATGGAAACAGCATATCTTACTTAATATTTTAAAGTATTAAGTACATTAGACAGTAAATCATAAATTTATTACTGTATGTTATAATATATTTAAAATGAAATCTTTATGAAGAATATATACGGATGGAAAATGGATTTTATACCTTCAGAAGGGCAGCCTGCAATCTTTCTTTCTTTTTCTTTGCGTAATTGGCCGCGGGAATTATGTACAAGAAGATTGACTCTATCGGGAATCGCAAAATATCGAAGGCGCACTCCTGCAACTTATAAAACCCGAGATTGCAATTTTCTTTCCAGAGACGCGAGAGCGCGCACGATTTTCGATTTTGTTCCCGTCTAAGAGATGAATAAGACGGGACGAAGCGAAGTTTGATGCCGAGCGCGTGATTTATGGGGCATCTTTTTCCCGAAATTATGCGCATAAAGATGCTTTAAAATCAAATCAGTTTTTACGAACTCAGAAAAATATGCGCCTGCACGAATCGCAAAATTTCCACTTTCATAATGTCCATAATAACGTCGATTGATGAGAGGCGAGATCACGTGAGAATTCACGAGTTTTACCGGCGTTCACTTGCGCTCTACAAGCATCAATTATAAAGCTCTTTGAGTGAAATCCATTTGCAATTAATTGGTAACTTAATGCTTTCGTACATTAATTTGCAAAACGGGGTCGGTACTATCGGTATCTCAATACGCGGTGTATCAAAAGAATCGACAATTATTCGTTAATATCTCAATAAACAGATAAAATAATGTATTCCTGATCAAATGTAGAGCATGCTAAATGCGAGAGCTATTTAAGTACTACGAATGTAATGTATTGGCAATTTTCTGCTTCCCTAATTTTTACATACACTAACAAAATTTTATCAAAAATGAAGGTACCGCCGATACATTCTACACTGAAGAAAATTTACTGAATCTTAATACACATTTCTTTAACTAATACTAAGTAAATATTTATTTAAAACTATATTCAAACAAACATTTATTAAAATTTAGTATTTTTTCAGTGTAATCATATTAACCAAAATTCTAATCGAGATAACTAAATATTCAATCATGATCACTGAAATTCTGATTGATATATCAGATTCTACTGGTTCGTTCATTTTCAATCAAACGTCTTTCTCTCGGTATGTATAAGTACTCAGGATGCTGCATTCCGCGATCGGTCCAGCGACGTTGCAACAACGCATTAATGATCTATTGCGGGTAATGGGTCGCGATTTCGCATCGCGTTCAGCGTCCGTGGCTTTGATGGACGCAAATATAGCGGCGGGATTGATCGTGCGATTGCGTGCCATGCGGCTGTATCTCTCGTGAAGCAGTAATGAAACGGAAGGTGGCGAATTACTCGCCCTTCGCCCTTGCTCCTCTCACCACCTCCCCCGCCCACGGCTACCGATTACCAATGGGGTGGGTCAGCTGGTATCGCGTCGGGGATGACCCGTAAGCGGGATGTCGAATGCGGTTACTCGATTGTCCCAGCGCGAGCATGCATTTCTCGCGTCGGATTTAACCCCGATTTTTGTCAGATACGGCGAAGCACGCACCGATGTGACGTGATAAAAGTGGAAACAAGCGATTGGTGGACCTCTGCGATAACGACTCGCCTTCGGAGAGATAACAATGAAACGGGCACGTAAAACACTTGATTGCAGAACGCTGCGTGCCTAAAATCGTGGAATCCAAAAATTCACGTAAATTTCATTGAATTTTGATTGAATTTCGCTTTATAAAATAAAAGCCATTTTGCGCAATGGTAAATCTGTAATATATTTCACGTGGGCATTTAGATTATAATCGTGGGTAGATTATAAGCAAATGGGTAAATGCAAATCTTGCATTTTTATAAACGTGCTGTTCTAATTAAAATTTTGCGAAATATTTTCTATTTGATATAAAAATCTAGCTTGTATATTACGCTCTTTGAAATAAAAGTTCGTTTAATCAGAATGAAAGATTTTAACATCTGAGCTTCTAGATTCTAGTTTACACCAACATGCATTACAATTTAGGAAATTTGTTTTGTTTGTTCCATTTCCGATTTCTCTGTTTATAAGAATAAATTTCTGACTCGACGAGGAATTAATTGAAATTTAAATGCTAAGTTTCTGCGAAAATATTGTTGCGCAAACGATATAATATATCCCAATCAAATGGGGAAAAAAAAATACCTAAGATAAAACGAGATTTTTTTAAAATTCAAACGCGTATCCTACCGCGTATTATTTTGCTGTCGGAAATTGTTTCTTCTTTGGTTTCACAAATGAATGGTGCGGCACAGTTCATCATTGTAGATCACACGTACGTGAGAAAATAGAGAGAAGATAAGTTTAATAAAAACAGAAATGTAGCGCGAGAGATAAAAGCTAAAAAATAGAGATAAATATATGAAATATCTTTTGCATAATAATTTTAATGTTGTAGCTTTGTTCGAAGTCCTATAAATGGACTTTTAGGCTGTGTGTCGATATATATTATACTAGTATATTGAAAGTCTACGTTATGTAAATATACTACACGAAAAGAACAATTTTACTAAAGTATCTAAAAATTTAACTTAAATACAAATCTAAAAATAATTCAGTTGGACCATCAAAATAATTACTTAAACGTCTCAAACATGATAATTCGAAAGTTTTGACATTTCATCAGTTCAAACGTTCTACATAAATATTTTGATAATCCAACAAAATTATTTTTAGATCTATATCTAAAAGTTAATTTTTTAGATATTTCAGCAAAACCATCCTTTAGTGATTGAACTTTCAGTGCTGGCAATGTATATCGGAATAATACCTTAATTGCAGCAAATGGTAGAATAATAATAGAATAAAAAAAAAACAACGAATTGCATAGAATGGTATTAAAACAATGAAAAAAGATTCTTTCTCTCGGCTACACTAATTTTAATAATTGCTCAGTGCATGTATTTAGACAGTGTTTACGCAAGGAATTCAACAATGTAGAAAATAGGTAGCTTCGTCTTGTAGCAACCACGTCCGTTTACTCACGCTCGTATGCTTAACCGCACCGTCGGATGCTTGCTCATTTGCGTATACACAGCTACTTGGGACAAAGGTGTAATTGAGTTTTGCGGAATAGTTGCTGCGAAGAAGTTCACAATTTCACCCTATTTTCACGCCGGTTTTCGGCGGAACTCACGAGCTCATATAATATGATTTTCCTCGATATTTCGGTATATCAGGTCAGCACATCTTTAGACATGACGCGAGATATGTGAAAATAGACGCTCCTCCATCGTATCTCTACAAGGCTCGATTTCTTCGTAGAAGCCCGCCGGTTTATTTATCGAGCGACGGTGGACAATAGTGGCCCACTTTGCATAAAACTTATAGGATCTCGCGACGAGCCGGCGTATCGAAAATATATCATGCAAATATTACGCAAACACGTTACGCGGTGGCGTGTGAAATTCCGGCCCCCCCCCCCAACCGTCCGGCTCTCTCTTTTGTGCGCTTTTCGTCCGTTCTGCGAATTTCTCGTGCGAAAATGCTGGCGCGCATATAAAACACGTTGTAATTCCATTAAACCTCGCTTCCGGTATTAACCGCCGGTACGCGCCATGGATGGCCGGCCTGGCTCCGCGACGGGAATAAAAATAAAATTTTTTAATAAAATGAAGCTTCTCCCGCGCACCGTCGGTCGAACTTTTTCGTTCTCGCGCTTATTTTTCACCGATGAATCGGCGAACTGCGCCCGCTTCACAAAAACGAGAACGCGAAGAAGAAACGAATGGAAAAGTTTTGGAAAAGTGCGCGACCGAGTCGCGAAATAAACGCGAGGAGGGTCCCCTTTCTTTCTTCCTATACGACAAAAAAATGTTCCTCGTTTCAACAGTACCGCCGCTTTGTAGGTACCATCGCAGCTGTAAATCGGATTGTAAGAAGAGTGCGGGGCGTTAGCCAGATAATAATAATCCCATTATTAAACGAAATAGAAAAGGAAG